GTGAAGGCGGGTAACGAGCATTCGATATTTCCGTCGCAAAACGTAGAAAAACCAACTCTCTTTCTTGTTAACAAACACACGTAAAGTTTCGCTAAATAATCGTCCAGCTGCCCTGCAGACGCCAGCACCAGTCCCAGGAAGGGCGGCGATGGCTTCAGCGGTCGGCTCAGGAATTCGGGATGATACTGGCAGGCGACGAAGAAGGGATGATCCTCGCCTAGAATCTGACTCTCCCGCTTCTGCCCTACGCTCCATCTCCAAGACCTCCATGCGTTCGTTCTCCGTGCAGGTGGCGACGAACTTGAGTCCCTGGGACTCCATGAAGGGAACCACTTCGGGGTTCACTTCGTAGCGATGGCGATGGCGCTCCACGATCTCTGCCCGTCACTCCGCGCCCTCTGCCCCACGCTTCTTTCGTCCGTACAGACGGAACATGATCGAGTCGGCGGCGCTGTCCTTGAACACGGAGATTCGCTCGCCCAGTCGCATCGTGCCTCCCTTCTGCTCCACGTCGTGCTCCGGCATCGAGATCACCACCGGGTGCGTCGTCGTCTTGCTGAACTCCTGCGAGTTCGCGTCCTCCCACTCGCACACATCTCTACGCCTCGCCTCGCCCTCTCTTCTCTACCTCGCGTAGCTGATCACCGCCACCTGCAGACCCAGACAGATCCCCAGATACGGCTTCTTCTGCACGCGCGCGAACGACGCCGCCTTCACCATGCCCTCGATGCCGCGATCGCCGAACCCTCCGGGCACCAGAATCCCGTCCGCCGCGTAGAGTCGGTCCCACGCGGCCTGGTACTTCGCCGGATCCGCGTCCTTGGTGCCGTCCTCCAGATCCGTGGCCTCCACCCAGTCGATCACCGGCTTGCGCCCGATCGAGTACGCGGCGTGCTTCACCGACTACCGCTCAGCGCGCCGCAGCAGCAGCAGCCCTACCTTCGAGACGGAGATGTACGAGTCGCACAGATGCGTGTACTTCCCCACGATCGCGATCCGGACCTCCGTTTCCACGCTGTCCACGCGGGCTGCCAGCGCCTCCCACTCGTGGAGATCGGCGGGGCCCACGGGCAGCTCGAGGAGCTTCAGAATGTTGCGCGCGGCGTGCTGCTCGCGGAGAACCAGAGGGACGTGGTAGATGTTGCTCACGTCCGGCACGCCCAGCACGTTCTCTACCGGAACGTCGCAGAACAGAGCGATCTTGCGCTTGGTGTCCTGCCACTCAGTGGGGTTCCACGTTTCTACCTCTTCGAGGGGCGTCGCGGTGCGGCAGATCAGGAAGTCGGGGGAGAGGCCGGTGGCGCGGAGCTCCTTCACGGTGGTCTGCGTCGGCTTGGTCTTTTGCTCGCTGCCATCGAGGGAACACTCAAGCACTACCCGACCACGCCGATTACAGGCACCAGACTCACATGGCAGAGAACGGCGTTCTGACGACCCACTCGCTTCATCAGCTGGCGGATAGCCTCCAGGAAAACCATGCTCTCGATGTCTCCCACAGTTCCACCCACTTCGATAAGACACACGTCCGCCTTGTCGCCGTTGTCGTTAATGGGCAGATTGGCCACACGTTCGATCCAGTCCTAGAGAAAATGGATACGAATAGAGCCAGGCAAGTACTTGGATCTCGTTCGTAGCATGGGGAATAATTTGCACAGTCTTTCCGAGGTAGTCTCCTCGCCGTTCCTTCTCAATTACACGCTGATATACCTTTCCGGTGGTGATGTTGTTATCTCGAGTCAATTTTACATCCAAAAACCGCTCATAGTTACCGAGATCAAGATCGACCTCGCCTCCGTCAGCAAGCACGTACACCTCTCCATGTTCATAGGGGCTCATTGTACCAGCATCGCAGTTCTACAGCATAATCATGGCGAAACCATCCGCTACTAGATACGGATCAATCTTGATAGAAGTCACTTTCACTCCATGAGCTTGAAGCAATCTACCCAGGGAACTGATTGTGATTCCCTTTCCCAGACCACTCAGTACTCCTCCAGTAACAATGAGGTATTTCATTTGGAATATACTAAAGAACTCTGAAGAAATCGCTTCTCCCACAAGAATCGCAAAAATACCCAAAAGGTTCGATATATGGCATCAAATCCACTGCGCTTTTTCCTCGCTTTTGGGTCACCCCTTGTCTCAAAGATGGCTGCTTTGCTGTTTGCACTTTTCTGGGTTGACTTTCCCACCTTGTAAATGGGATCTTGCAAAACATAATGTATACGAGTAGAGGATAATGTAGCATGGGCTAGAGAGTCGTTTTATGCGGTTTTTAGGCCGGAGAACGTCTTGGTGTAAATAGTGCAGAAATAGGAAGTAGAATAGGCAGGGGAAATGAACGTCCCGTTCTTTTGCAGTATTCGTTGGTGAGTATGAAAGTAGAGTTTGAGTGAACGATTCTTAGTGGATTTTTGTTAGAATCGTAATATTTGATTGATTGCAAATAATTGTTATTCCTTCAAAGTACTATTTAGTTGATTTCGTTTTCTCTTTTTTCACTACACCCAGAGTTGCCTTTGTTCACACTTCCTAACCTATTCTTACCATTCATATCACAAAGGACTGGAGGATTCGGGAACACCAAAACCCGATCACACAACCATAAACGCTTAATAACCTTGTTGTTTTTCCTATATTTTGTTTTCTCGATATCGGCAGACTATGAATAGCAAATACACCAAGGCAACGGATCTCATTTTCAAATCGAAGCAAAACCCGCTTACTGGAAAGCCCTTCTCGGATAATTATTACAAAATATTGGAAGACAGAAAGAAATTACCCGTTTTCGAGTTTCTTGACACACTCGAACAAGCCGTCGATTCCAATCAAGTAATTATTGTGGAGGGAGAAACAGGATCGGGCAAAACAACCCAAATTCCTCAAGTAAGTAGTTTTCGAGTGTTTTGACTGAAGTAGGCTTTAACGCTTCACTATTTGTCTAAAAATCCAGATTCGAATAAAATGATTTGCTGTACTCAACCTCGTCGTGTAGCTGCTTTGACTGTTGCCAAACGTGTTTCCGAAGAAATGGACGTTGAATTTGGGGAGGAGGTTGGTTACACGATTCGATTTGAAGACTATACGAGTGAACGAACAAAGTTGAAGTATATGACAGACGGTATGTTAGAACGAGAAGCAATGAACGATCCTTTATTGTCTCGTTATTCTATAATTTTGTTGGATGAAGCTCACGAACGAACATTAGCGACGGATATAATGATGGGTTTACTGAAAGAACTATTACCGAAGCGTCCTGATTTGAAACTAATCGTAATGAGTGCAACTCTGGATGCGGGTCGATTCCAGGTATGCAATGCAAAGCAATGCAATGCAAAGCAATGCAATGCAATGCAAAGCAATGACTAACACATAGAAATACTTCAACAATGCTCCTCTTTTCTCTGTCCCTGGCCGCGTGTATCCAGTGGACATTTACTTTACTCCCAAGCCAGAGCGCGAATATGTGGAAGCGGCGATCCGCACTGTGATCCAGATCCACTTGCTGGAAGATCCTGGCGACATTCTGCTTTTCCTAACAGGCGAGCAAGAAATCATGGACACTTGCGATCGTTTAGAAGAAGAGCAGGCCAGTTTCCCGAAAGACAAGCAGAATCTGATCGTATTGGCTGCTCTCTGTTTTTCTCTCTCTCTAGATCCTGCCTCTCTTCTCCTCGCTTCCTCCCCAGCAACAGCAGCTTGTGTTTGAGCCCACGCCGGAAGGAAGCCGGAAAGTGGTGATTGCGACGAATATCGCGGAGACTTCGATCACAATCAACGGGGTTGTGTATGTGATCGATCCAGGATTCAGCAAGCAAAAAGTCTACAATCCTCGAATCCGCGTGGAGTCGTTGCTCGTAACTCCAATCAGCAAAGCATCGGCTCGTCAGCGTGCGGGTCGCGCAGGCCGAACGCGTCCAGGGAAATGCTTCCGATTATACACGGAGGAATCATTCAACACGCAATTGCTGGTACCATATGGAGTGATTCGCAGTGATGTACTAGGAGCAAAGCTATCCAGAAATCATGCGAAGCGATATCAGCTCTGTGATTCTCACAATGAAAAAGCTCGGGATCGAAAATCTGGTTCGGTTTGACTTTATGGATCCGCCAGCACCCGAAACGATGATGCGTGCTCTGGAGAATCTGAATTATCTGGGCGCATTGGACGATGAAGGGGAGTTAACGGAGTTGGGAAATGAAATGGCGGAGCTTCCGTTGGACCCTCAGCTATCGAAAGCCCTTCTGAGTTCGAAGGAGTATGGATGTGTTCCTGAAATGCTGACGATCACGGCCATGCTCTCCATCCCTCCCCCGTTCCTTCGTCCTCGCGAGAGCGCGCGGTTTGCGGACGAGGCGAAGAGCCAGTTCGTGCACGCGGACAGCGATCACATCACGCTTCTGAACCTGTACAACGCGTTTGTGGAGGTGCCGACGAAGGCGCGATCGAAGTGGTGCTACGACAATTACATTAACTACCGATCGATCTCGTCGGCACTGAACGTGCGGCACCAGCTGGAGGGCATTTTGCGCCGTCTGCACTACGACGTGACGAACGGAAACCACTTCGAGAGCACGTACTACTTCACCAACATCAAGAAGAGCATCTTCGCGGGGTTCTTTATGCAGGTGGCGCATCGCGAGCGGACTGGGCACTATCTTACGATCAAGGACAACCAGGTGGTGAAGCTGTATCCCTCCTCCGTGATGAAGAACAAGCC